CAAATTTTTTTTTTTTTTTTTTTTTTTGAACTACTAAATACAACTTTCAATAATCTCGTGTTAAAATTTCAAGCGTTTCTGTTTGGTCAAACAGTTATTATATCACAACCAATACCTACTTACCGTTTTTGTCCCCAGTTTTTCGAAACTATTATATGAAATCTACTTGAAAAATCAAAAAAAAAAATCGCCTTTTTTAATGTACAAACTAGAGACGAAAAATAAAACAAAAAAAAAAATTTTATTTGACATTTTTCGATTAAATTTTCTGGTAAAACAGTTATTTAAAGATATTGAAAAATAAAAAATAAATACATAGTAGATCCGACAGTGTTCGCTGTGTTCGCGCAGCACAGAATCTAAAACGGGACATTAACACGGTCAAACAAATCGTATTCAACTAATCGAACTTACACAAATTGTTATTTCTTACTAGGGCTGATCAGTACTTAGAAATCTAAAAATATGCATGTACTTATGCACTTAAAAATCGAGAAATATGCACTTAAAATATGCTCTGAAAAAAATATTTTATTTCATTATTTTGGTCAGATTATAATATTTATATAAAACAACTAGTTGTCCCGTGCCCGGCGTTGCCCGTGCCAATTTTGATTATTATTATTTTACCCGTATTCATTTTTGGTTTTGGCCGTGTTAGAATTGAATGAAAACAAATAGGTGGAAAGTGGGTAGTCCACCTGCGGCGGCCTGAATGTGTTCAATTATGACATTTTTTTCATGATTTTCATACGAAAAATAACGAAACCGGTTTCTTTAAAACCTAAATTTTATCTCTATTATCGACTATTGCGTTCTATGTAAGTAGAGGGTATTTACGTACATAAATAAAATCGAACGGAATAAAAACGATACGAAAACTTTACTGTAATGATAATTATAAACATAATATTAATACCTAATATTCAATACACGACATATTTCTCCATGTTGATCCATTCTTTTGCTGTTGGCCGGGGGCTCCATTTTAACGATTAATTATGTCATATGGACAATTTCAAAGCTTGCTGTAGCTTTTTCAATTCGAAAAAACATTCCGGAACTCTAAATATCAAGATAAATTTTTAAAAAAAGGGTTTTTACAAAAAATTTTTTCGTAAAAACCTTCTCCCGGCAATTACGAACAATTAAAAAAAAATTTTAGCCAAATCGGCCCAGCCGTTCTCAATTGACGAATTTTTATACATTTTCGGCTCAATTTTTATATATATATATATATAGATTACATTACGATTAGTTTATTTATAAATACTTGAAGAATTATATTTTTTCGGCATCTTCTTGATATTTGTACCAATATGTTCGATTTTGTCTAAATTTATTTAAAAACTTGTTCCGAAAATTGCCAAATATGTTCTTAATCTTTATAATTTACTCAAATATACGCATATTTATACGCAATAACCGCAAAACATGCTAAATACAATTTCAAATTTGATCTCCTGGTGTTATGAAACACACTTGTTGATCACTAGAATTTTTCCATGATCTTTCTAGAAAAAAAATTAAAAAAACTATAAGTCCTCAGCTCTATATATAACTAAAGAAAAAAAAAACCGATATTGACTGAAAATATACACGTAACCGTTTTACTGTGTTTTTTTTTAAATTGTCGCGGTAAACCGATGTACCTACCGATTTGCTGTCGGACCATTTTACTGCTGTACCGGCCCGCTGACGTTAGCCACCAGAAACGGCAAAATCCAGAACTTTTTCTCGAGTAAATATTTTGCGTCTTTTTTTTTATGAGAACATTGTTTTTGTTTAAAATATTAGGGGGTTTACCACTGGGGTAGGACATAATTACATCCGCATATGGAAAACATAAATGTTTTAATGGTTATACCTACACACGATATTATATTTGTTATTATTATTTTTAACAGATGTGTGTACAGTATGGGCACTATATACACTCAACCATTGATGATTGAATTGTATAAACATTTTTTTTCCATACATATTATTTTGACAGTATAGTTGCTTTGGGGATTTTTTCCCGGGATTCCCAATTCCCGTAGTCGAGTTGGATAGAGAAGACGGTTTTACTGTTTTTTTCGCGATTTTCATTTGTTACATCCCCCCCTCCCTCCAATTGGAAATCCCAGGGCGCGCCACTGACAACGGGACAACGCGAATATAGATAACAGAGAAATAAAATCTAGCGATCGTAACGATACGCAATGTTAAATAACGTTTCCGTTTTGTAGCGGTTTGATACTGATAACCTGAATCACGATTATCGACATTTTCGGAAAATTTCGTTTAAAAAAAAAAAAACGAACAACAATGACATGTGCGTACGTGTATAAAGAACAGTAGTAATATCGTGTACGGGATTTCGGCCCACCCCCCTCCCGAAATCGGGGGCCCCCGTGAATTGCGCACCCGGCGTTCCCGATAATTGCGCCACTGCAATAGTCGCGTAAAAACCACGTCATTTAGATAACTTTACAATGAGCTGTTGACGAACGCACACAGGACTACGATTGCGCCCGATCCGGCCGTGCCAGGAATCGGCTTTTTTTTTTTTTTTTTGTTTTGTTTTCTAAAATTCGAACACGGCCACGCGGGGGAGGACTCGTCGTACGCGTTGTACAACCGTGCGCGGACAATAGCGCCGCCGCCGCCGTGACGAACGCGTCGCGGTCGAACCGTGCGACGATTTCACACACCAAAACCTAACCGTGCGCCGCCGGCGGGGTCCGACTAACGCGGACATTGTCGTCCGCGTGCGTCGCGAACGTGTTTGTTTGCGGTTCATTTATAATTCCTTTTATAGTGGGCGGTGGGTGGGTGGAGGGGGGGTGGGAAAAGTAATAGTAACAATAATAAAACCCCGACTGTATCCCTTGAGATGTACGACCCCGGACGTACCCGGACCGACGTTTGAAAAAAACCATCGCGTCGCGCCCCTCGCCGGATGGGATTATGCGGCGCGCGGGGAGTCGGGGACGCGGTCGAAGGGAGCGGCGGCAGCTGCGGCGCGTACGCCGCCGACCGAATGTTAACGAACGTGTTCGGCCAGTATTTTCTCCCGCGTCCGTCCGTCCGGGGGAGAAAATAAAAACATCGCGCGGCAAAGGGGCGGCCGGGAGGTATTCTCTTTTCGTAGCGCGCGCAGTGCCGACACGACGTGATATTATCGTCGTAAGCCCCGTCCTTAAAAAAAAGCCTTAAGCGTTATGCAACTAGACACGACATTTTATTTCGAAAAATAATAAAAGACGCACTCTTGAAATCCGGAGTAAGATTGCCGGTAGACAAACAAAATGACCGAAAACCATGACACTTTTTTCATACCGATCGTGAACATTTGTCCGTTATGTTCCTGCGTGTTCTTATGTACAACGTGTTTCGAAATTGTAGTGCTGTTCGCCGATGTATACATTTACCTCGACGCCAAAATCAAATAAATAATAATATGGCATTCAAACGGCAGGGACGGTTTTACATTTAAACGTTCTCTTTTGTTTCCGTAAATGTATTAAATTCTCGTTACTAATAACGATAATTGTTAGTGAAATTCGAAACTCGCATTCCCAAGTGGCGACGTTGACGGTTATTACTGATTATTTATTAGGTACTTTGGCTACGTGATGGATTAATGGTCTTTCACCGGGTCGCGCATTCCAACTCCATCCATAGGGAACGTTATTAACAATTTTTTTTTTTTTCTAACGTCCGTAAGTACACTTACTGTAGCAAAGTAATGTTATATAGGTTTTCCGAAAATCTCTACTGCAGCGTTATTCGTTCGTACAATAGAGTAGGCACACAATACAAATCCAATAACTTTACAACAACTAGGTGTTTACTAAATAATCACCGATAATAGATTCGATACGCATCTATCTAATAGTACGGTCTCAGAGTATTTTAAACATATTAGGAATTTTTCCTTGAAATATTTAAGTCTTCCTTATACAGCAGCTGTAATCCGCCGTAAACACGGAATGCGATTACGAATTAAAACAGTCAATTCGTCGATCGTTTTGAAGACTGCATTCATTAATCTTTTACACCGCTGACCAAAACGTTCAACGGAGATCGGCCGTTATAAAATGTGTAATTTATCGTATTCGTTAATTTAGTCATTTTGATTTAATCGCTATCTGCTTGTGGCCGTAGGCGCAGGTTATCAAAATGTGAAGGGCTGGCCTACATAATAAATTGTTACATTTGGTTTTAGTTAAGCACAATGTTTATCGTAAATTATCCAGTTAACAATATTGAATTTACATTTATCCTAAAAATGGTTGTTCTGTGCGTTTTCACGTTTGCTCCAATATATATATATATGATAGAATCGGGGCGAACTCAAACAATACAACACGCATTATAGACAATTTGTGGGGCAAATTAAAATGCACCGGAATAACAATTCGGCACGGTGAAATAAATGTATACTTTAGTATATTTAGTACATTTATTTATGTATACGTGTAAAATCATTCAAATCGAACAGTTATACATTAATTTGCTCTTTAAATCGTGTGGGTAAATCGGCCTTTCGCGTCCGACATTATAAATTACTCATTCTTTTACATTTTCAACTGCGTAATTACAATTATTGAATTGCCCGATCACCCGATATTTGTATAAGTTTCTAAGGTAATAGGGAAAATATTCGCCCGACCGAAAACCGCGCCGGGGGCAAAAAAAAGCCCCGTCGTAAATTATTACGCACGTTTTAATGGTAAAACGAAACAAATAAAACAACCCGGTAACATTTATTATACTCATTATGTTAATCTGAATCCCGTGAGATGTACGACCCTGTAGCCAGACCGGCGTTTAAAGACCGCCGCGGACACGCCCGTCGCCAGATGGGATCGTACGAGATGCGGGGTGTCG